ATACATTTAATGTGCCAATCATTGAACTGTAAAGAAAAAGGTACAAAACAAAGGTCTTTGCAAAAACTTTGAATTGATTATAAATCAGTCAGCAAATCTGTCATCGGAGTCATTTATTTTGCGTGCCCTCCATAATAATGTATAGAATAGTTGGTAATAGTTAATTCTGGTATTACTTCTTTTGTATTCTAAAAAAGGGTACAAAACCACAATATTGAAGGTATCAGGTCTCTAAATCAAACTTTACCCATAGTTATCAATATTATTTTACTTCAAAAATTAAACAGACTGTAAGGGAGGTATCTTTAATGCCTTTAATTATCATTGCAGAGGATGAACACAAGTCACTTTAGAGTTATGAGTTGAAATAGGACGCCGAACAGTGAAGGAAAAGGCCCGGGAAGGGTAACTTGCCTATGTTGCTAGGCAACCTAATAATCTTAATGGATAATCCGCCCACGCAACGGAAGTTTCCTATCCCTTTCATTTACTCTAATATCTATGGTTCTTTACTTTTCTTTTCATTTGATCACGTGACTAAAACTATAAAAACCCACCTCTCTTACGTTACCAAAGAGACCAATGACCAATAATTATAATTTGCAATAAATGCATTAAATGGCAATAATAAACAAGATGGTGGATAAGAGTTCTAGTGGTGTTGTGTTGTATCGTAAGCCTCTCCCTCCCTCCAGTCAGTACTTGAAAACTAGCAGTACTAAGACTAGTAAAAAGACTGGAGCTCTCTCTCTGCCTAATAATAAGAGAAGAGAACCTCTAGAACAAGATATACAGCAAGGCGGACTACCAAACCTACCTTACATACACCCACTCTATCCTAAAGGGCCTCCTCCTCTACCAATGGGAAAGATAATTAAACATGCATACAGAGATACCTAGTCCTCCTCTATTCCCTACTCCACCATTAGACTCCTTTACATTAAGTGATTTCTTGTTGTGTACTGATACAGCTAGGGGAGCCTGTACTAGAAGATTGGTCTCATCAGATTCTATTGTACTCTCTAGGGATAATTATCTTAAAATGACTGGCTGGTTCTCTTTTAATGCTCATAGACAATCAGTCATGGACACTCAGTCATGCCGGCATCCGCAGACATCAGTTAACCTTTTGCTGGATCAGTATGACACTGGCCATATACTGGGGGCCAGTCTACAGTATCTTATTACTGTTAATAATATATATATATAATTAAGTTAATAACAACACAGATTAATTCTATATTGGACTCAAACTGCTCAACCTAGGGATCAATATAGAATCAGTGTGAATCAAGTATGAATCAGTGTGTATCAGTATCAATCAGTATATTCATTAATGATTACTTCAATAGGAAACAGTTCTCTTGCTCTACTTAATGTCATCTTAGCACTGTTGGACCTCTCAAGGAAATAACTACAAAATAATAACAACATAAGTACATGTACATGTGTTCATAACAAAGGTAGACATTGCATGGTCCTTGTCATTTTTGGCTAAATTTGGCCCAAGATCATGTACATGCAGGTATAGGCTTTGACCAGATTTTGTGAAAAATTCAAATTTGATCGACACAAGCTCAAACTTTCTACACAACGTACCTGGTAATTAAGAACATGTATATACATGTACATGTACAATGTATATGCATTAGACAAATTATAACAGCGAAGAATTCTCTCC